CATGTTAATGGCATTGTCAGTCTTGGTGTATCAACTAGTAGTATCTTATATTGTAGTTTTGAATATTGTGATTCTGTCTTTTCCAATTCTGCACAGCTGAAGCTAATGAAAACAGTTTGGTGAAAGGATGAAACTTCCAGTCCTTCCACTGTAGTGAGTTATGCCATTTGTGACAGAAGGATACATTGGTTTGTGCAGAAGCCTTCAGAGTAGTCACTTAGAGACTGCAGAGTATGACAGATGAGAACTGAAGATGAGGTTGTGTCTTCCTTGAGACAGGTGGTTTAAAACTGCTTTTAAACTTCTGCAGAAAGCTTAGTGAAAAGTTCTCAACTTCTTTTTATTAGGCATGAGAGTTACCTTCTTACGTCCAGCATCAGAAATTATACAAATGTGCAAGCTCTGTCTGTTTTGACACTCATGCATTTGTCAATAATGACTGCAATACTTTATTTTGCTTTCCAGGTCTCCCTTCAGAGTATAATTACTTATTCTGGGTTTTGCTCCGATGTCTCTTGCTACTCCATGCGGAAGCTGCTACTTCCATGATTCTAGTATCTCTTTTCTCCTGCATCTCTACCTGTTTCTTCAATGTGTTTTTACAGTATATTCATTTTTTGCTATCTCAGTGTTTGTCTTGTAGTGTTCTGGGTCCTTGGATCTCTTACTCTTCATTTGCTTCATTTGGTTTGTCACCTTAAATACACTCTCCACACATACTTTTCTTAGCCACTTAATGCCTTGTCTTTGGCAACATTTGGCCAGCAGTACAGGGGTGTCTTGTGGTTATTTGTTGCTTTTCAAATGACAGGCAGTGATATTTAAAATCATCTAAATAGCAGGCCAACTTTTTTTTTGGCCTTCCTGTGTTGTATCTGTTGGCTTATTTATATCAGACCTACACACTGAAACAGCATTGGTTTTCAAAATAGCATTGAAAATTCTTTCTGATTCCCATCAGTCTTCTCACTCAGACTTGGCAATATTTGGAATCTTTGTTTTTGAGAAATGACTGTTAGAATTATGTGAATCTGATGTGCCTTTTCTTTAAGAGTTTCTAGTTCTCATATTAGTGTTTAAACTTCTGTTTTGATTTTTGAAGCTAAAATCTGACAACTAAAGTTGGGCATTATCTGACTGGCTGAAGTTCATTATTAAGTCTCTTGAAATGAAGCATGTAATGCTGTGTTTAAGTACCATTATATGCTGAATTTCTTCATTTAATATGCTTGAGTCTGATAACGTGACTGCAGTTGTGTTACAAGGCAGCAGTCCATTTATGCTGACTTTAGGTTAAAGTAGCATGACTGTTGTACAGGGATAAGTTACACACTGCTGCTTCTGCATTTCATAGCAGTAAACAATAACATCAGAAACCTCTTCAAGATCCAGATCTCTTTAATCCAGAAATCTGTGCTTGGCTGAGATTCTGAATAACTTGTCTTTCAAAGAAACTACTGCTCTCTTTCTTCATAATATTTGGGAGAGGTACCAGAAATGTAGTTTAGTGGAACTTTTGTTTTCACAACAGAGGTATGAGCCCTTATTTTGGATTATTTTAAGAAAGAATATTTTTGTGGATGAATATGCCAAGGTATTTTTAACCAGTGTTCAACTTGCTGTGTTAAGTTGTAGTAAATGCAAAAATAAACAACCTATAGCTGTTGCTTTCAGACTGGCAACCAGATAAGCTGGCTGTTGGTGTCCAGTTACATGACAGAAAAGTAGCATGAGGAATAATGGGTAGCTATTTCACTGCAACCTGATGATACAGGGTTTGAAAAGGTCTGAACACTGCTCCATTCAGCTGTGATGTCCCTGAGAAATGTAGTGCCCTTTGCTTTCATTGTCATTGCCCAGTCAGATCTCTGTTCCAATTGCTTGTAGACTTATGTGATGCCTGTTGTTGTAGTAGAATAATGTTTTGAGACAATGTGTGAGCTGTAGCCTTACTGTTCCGGTACTGTGTCAGGGACAGAATAAAATCCAGTGTTCTCTTTGGGAGAGGTACACTTTCTCTCCTTCAGGATATTCTTACCACACAGAGCTGATTTGTGCCAGTAAGAGGTTGAGAATGAGTATTTTTCTCTTTCAGTTGCAGTGGCAATTAGGAAGTAATGTACATAGTTTTGTGTCTGTCCTGAAAAGGCATTGCTGAAGCCCTCTGAAAAAAATAGGCCATCAGGCTGGCTGTTTGCATTATCAGCCTGAATGACTAGAAGAATTGGATTACTTACATGACAGTGAGGGGGCACTGTGCAGTGCTTGCCTTAGGAACAATTCAGATCTCAGCATGCAAATATTACCTGCTGGCCAGCTGAAACCTGAGATCAACTAAAGCCTTAAAGATGTCTAGGAAAATCTTAGTTCGGTTGTTCACTTGCTGGTTAGCCTCATGTGCTTCATAAGCATAGAAGTTACAGCCAAAGCCAAAACTCACATCTCTGATAAATGATGGCTGTGCACTTGCAGGGTGGCAAGGAGGCCTGGTAGGATTTTGTAGATACACTGGAAGCAGGGTTGACTGTTACTTTTGTAGCTCCTGCATGCTGTGTGCAGTGTGTGTGTCAGCCCATGCTAGAATCTAGTCCTTGCAGTTAAGATGGCTGAATGACCCTGCATGCCTGTTTGACTGGAAGAGTGCTGCAGGAATGTATACATTGGATGCACTTAACTAACATGGCAACAATGGATCAAATCAGTAGGCTGCTGTATTGAAAAGGAAAGCAAGAGCATGCTTGATATAGGAGCCAGTTATTGTCCCATTTCATTGTGTGTGTCAATACTCTTAGGGGCTGCTTGTTTGTTAGCATTTCTGGAGCAATTTGTGTCATGCAATGGCACAGTTCAGAGAACAGAAAATGGATGCTAGGTCAGGGATTCTCTCCCCCCTTGCATTGTCTTTCCGATAAATTCAAGTATGGTGGTGCTTTATGGATGGTCTGTTACTGGCCTGTCAGAAAGATGAAATGGTTTGGCATAATTGCTAAGTGTCATTTTATAATTGAGTTATTCAGCCAGGTTTGTTGGAGCTTTCTGTTCCAGGTTGCTCAGTATTGCTCTGATTTGGACATGGCTGGATGAGAAGTGCTGTTGCTCTGTTTCAAGGAGGCTGGGAATATATAACAGGTTACTGTAGAAATCTTAGCTGCTGTTTTTCCCTTAAGCATGATAGCGACTTATGTTTAAAAAAAAAAATAAATTTATTGAGCATGGTTTTGGGGGGTTTTTTTGCCTTTTTTTTTTTTTTTTTTTTTTTTTTTTCTTATGTGTTCTATAAGGTCATCTGGTTCCCTTAGGGGTTCAGATAGAAGAAACGAGAAAGATCAAAGCTGGAAAAGCTCAAAGCAGCATTGTTTATAACATTGAACCAGGTTGGCTACAGCTCTAGTTGGGCTTGAAAATCTCCAAGGATGGAGATTGCATAGCCTCAGAGTGACCTGTTGCAGAGCTGCTCTGATCTCCTGGCACATGAGCTCCAACACAAGGAGCAGATTGTTCTGGAGAGAAGGGGGTCATGCCCTGGGCTGCCAGTGAAGTGCACTGCTGTGCATGGGCTGGGATGAGCCCCGCTCCTGAGGGATGCACACTGCAGCCCCGGCTGCTTTGTGGCACCCTCCTGATGGGCTCCGTGCCAGGTAACATCACTCTGTGCCTCCTCAAACAGTTACCTGTGGAACCTGTGTATCTGCTGGAAGGGTTTTCAGAATTTGCTGGTGAGATCAGCAGTGGGTGGACCCAAGCTGTAAAGAAGAAGCTGTTTCTTGCAGACTGTTGAGGAGGTGACCTGTGACCCCCAGACTTACCAGTAGAATCCAACTTGTGTGTGTTCTTTCCTTGCTGGAGCACAGCCTCGGGAGATCAGCTACATCCATCCACACTGCAGGGTCTACGGCTCACGTTTGCCTGGTGTCCCAGGCTCCAAGACACAAGGAAGAGCAACAAAATACAAGCAGGTCCCAAGTTTCTGAAACAGCAAGAGCAGCAATGAAGGTTTTTTTTAACATGAGAATGCTGCCATATGTTTTGTCCAAATGAATGGCATGGGAAAATCATTTGAGAAAGAGTTGGAGACCTGCGTGGCACAAAGAAGTGAAGTTGGTGCAGTCTGGCACAGGGATACATGCGTGGACCAGGCTTGGGAGCAAATTGTTCTGACTGCTTCACTTGTGTTTCCTTGCCAGAAGTCACTGCATTGCTGCCAGGTTTTCCTTCTGGAGCGAGCTACTCTTTGCCTGGTCCCTGGTGGGGGACTGAGGCTGGGAGTGTAACAAGAAGCTGCTTAAACACTACGTAGCTGCTGGTGTGGTATAAAGGGTCTATACATAAAGCATAAGCCTTGTCTTAACCTGGGCTATATTACTTAGTATCATTTAGGTGATGCTTTGTTTCACTGTCTCTTGTAGCATTTATCTTTTACTTATTGTGCTTTCCTTTTTGTGAGGGCTACCATTTGATGGGGTTGATGTAGTACTGAACACGGTGGGAATCATATTGCTAATTAGAACTCGTAGATACACCAGTGAAAAAAATAGAACTTACAGCAGCACATTGTAATATTTTTTCTTTGATGCTGTCTCAGTTTAAGGAAACTGGGAACTTGATCAGGCTCCATGACCTACACTTGGATACTTAGCTCTGCCTTTGTTGATTAATTTTATATGAAAGTCAACTCTGCATTGTTTTTGCCCTAATTTTCCTCCAACTGTAATAAGAAGGTGATCTGATATTGTAGGTGTTTCTGAAGGGTCTGTTTAAATGCTGTAGAGTTAATACAGTGGTGGCTGTTGCATCTTTAACATAAGGGCATTGGTACAGGTGGTGAAGGGAGACATTTTCAGCTTCTCTTAATTTGCAAACTTTGTGCCTGCCAAGCCCATGTGGAAAAAAGGTTTTAATGTGTAATTGAGCTGAAGTCACTTGTTGTAGTGATGAATTTTACCTTCCTGACAAAATATTAAGTTAAATAATTAATTACAAATGTTGCTTTATCTTTTCAGTACATCAATTGTGGTAACCTGGAACAGCTACTAGATGGCAACCAGCATCTACCCTGGACAGTGAGGGTGAAACTGGCATATGACATTGCTATGGGAATAAGTTATCTTCACTATAAAGGCATTTTCCACCGAGACCTTACATCCAAGGTACTGTTTATAAAATTAAGGGAACTTCCTAATGTAGGTGCTGCAACTGATTGTTGGGTTTTCTCCCTTTTTCCATTCCATGCAGAGAATTGCTATTGTATGAGGTGTGATCTAAGACATTTTGAGAAACAAATTGAAATGCTGTCTATAGAATTAAAACTTTCCTCAAAATATGTTTGTAGTTCATATGGAAACTAGAGAAATTGTTATCATGAAGGAAGATCATCCCTTAAATGAGTTCAGATTAGTATTTCTCATAAAGCAGCTGCAGAGTTTTTCTAGTTCTGAATTCCGGTTCAGTAAAGTATTTAAATCCCTGGATAATTAAGCACAATAATCTAACATTTGGAACAGGTTAATCATATAAAGAACCCAAACTGAGGGGATTATTACAAATGCACTTCAAAATCTCCTTGTGGTTTTTGTTTCCCTGTGTATTTCACAAATCTGTAGGAAGAGTGACCTTTCATTACTAATTCTGCCTTAAGTGCAGTGTAAATTCTGGTTTATCTTTCTTTCATTTTTAAAGTCAGTAAGATCAATATAGTTTGCCTAAAATTTCCAAATTTTGATTTTTTTTTCCCCAGAATAATATCAGTGGCAGAGTATTCAGTGGACATAGATTTATTCTTTCTAGTTGCTTTGGTGACAAGTTGCATGACTTGAGTTGGCTGAAGTAGCTGGATAATTCAAGCTCAGCTAGAAGTATTGACATAGGAGCACTAAGCTGTGTGAGCAGATTGTCCCAGTGTTCACATTGGCTCTTGCCACCCATTGCAGCCTGTGCTGAGTGCTTTGCTGTCCTGTCTGTCCTGTTGTCTGGTGGTAATGAGCTGGTTTAAACTCACTGGGGGCCTGCAACATGAAAGTCTTTCAAAACTCTTCTTGAGAAGGCCTCATCACATTACTTCAGTCAGAAGCATCCAGAAGAATGTTAATTTAGTCTAAAAGGTATTATTTTTTAGGATTGGAAACAGCTTTTAAAAATAAAACCACAACAGAGTGTGTTTGCCAATGAGACTACTACTCCTTCATTCAGTTTTAGGGGTCTTTTTAAAGTTTCCTTAGTGCAGTGTTAAACAGATGTAGAATCTGCATTTAGTCAAGGTGGGAAAAAAAAAATCAGCTGGTAGATGAAAGAAGTATTTTGGTGTAGTCAGAAAATACTTTCTTTCAAGTGAAAGGCACTGAATTCTGTAAGGATGAATATTAAATTTGTGAGAAATGCCCAGACTGGGAGTCATGTCACTTTGACATGATACACTCAGCTCAATTTCAGTCACCTTGGAGTGTGCAGGTAAGAGATCCATAAAAATATCTGAAAAGACAGCTTGGTGTTCCCCTTTCTTTTTTCAGGATGTACTTTAGTGCATTTAAGAGTAGAGTTACTGCAAGGAACCAAAGTAACTAAGGAGAGCTGAGTGCCTGCAGCATTTGTTATTACAAATGTAACTGTGATGGTCAGTCATATGAAAATCCAGTTCCTGGGCTCCCTGTGAATGCCTTTGTTCCAAGCTTTACATAACTGTATGTCATTCTCTGGAGCTGCCCTGCCAATGCTTCAATGTTATCTATTGTTGAATGCCAATTGTTTGAAAAGCTGCACCCACTGGGAGGGATGCAGGATGTCCCAGGAAGAGCAAACTCATCAGAGGCCACGGGAAGTAGTTAAGGTTATTCAAAAACAAATGAACAACAAATCAAACCCTAAGAATTCACTAGCAGTTATGCTATATCTGGATGGTTCTTAGCACTAAAGTTATAGTATCTGTGTGGGTCACATCAGAAGCTGTCAGCTTTAAGAATAATACAGAATTTAATTGATGACAGCTATAGTCTGTGTTTTTAAATTTCTTCAGGATTTTGGGGTTGGTTTTGTGTGTGGTTTTTTTTTTTTTTTTTTTTTTTTTTTTTTTTTTTTTTTTTTTTTTTTTTTTTTTTTTTTTTTTTTTTTTTTTTTTTTTAATGTGATGTATGCACTTTCCTTGTTCTGTTTGGAAAGGAAATAGATTAAATACTCACCTTAAACACTCACCTTAAACAACTAATGAATTTTATTAGCGTATTAAGGTATTGATGAAATAAACCTTAAATCTGTTGGGCGAACTACTCCCCTTTTAGGCAAATGTTTGCATTGCTGGCTGGCTAAGTTTTTAAAAAGTAACTTTGTTCCAAAGCAAAACAATGAAAATGATCATGGGAAAAACCTGTCACCAAAATTTTCAGTTCTCAGACTACAGCTTTTGGCTACTACTTGAGAATATGCCTTGGCCTTTACCAGGTTTGTACTGGTGATAGGATGAGTTATCTTTATTCTTACTAGTAAATAGTCAGTGTGGAGCAAGCTGAAGGAAAGTGTGATGGACCCTTGCCTTGGGCGAGAACTTGGATTGAGCAAGGATAAATTCAATACCATTCTGTATTGTCCTTCTTTCTTCAGTAAACTTCACTAATTGATGGGATGGCTTTATTATTCAAAATGAAGGCAAAGACAAGAGTTTAGACATCTGCAAAAGTCAGAACAGACTGAGTTTGCAAGGTGGGAGAATGGAGTATTTTTCTATGAAACTTGCTGGCCTTGACTGAAGTGTGAACAGAATGAAACGGAGACTTTCTGTGCAGGAATATCTCCATGCTTTACATGTTTCACTTGGGACAATACCCCACTAGAAACTGTCTCTTTAATATGAATTTTACTAATTTTAATTAATTTAGACCCTTACTTCTGCCTTTCTGTTTCTGGTAAACCTCTAATTCCTGTAGCTTCCTGGAGTGGATAGTGTGTTACATAAATTTTACGGTGTCAGTTATGGCAACAGAGTTGTCTTGCTCTTAGCATTATATGTGTCAATGTATTTGATGCCTAACAATTTAAAGAAGGGAAAGTTCCTGTCCCCTGCCAATCTAAGATTGGAAAATAAGTGTCTTGGGCCATTATTATATAGCAGGGTGATCTCACTCCCTAATTGCACGATGTGGAGAGGAACAGAACAGCATTGATACTGCAGGAGGCCAGAGGGAAGAGCAGTAGAGAAGAGTAGATGTAGGTCATTATAGTCGATGTGACAGCCCAGGGGCATGTCAGCCCTCATATCCCACTGGTGCCCTTCCCAATGGCCTTCTGTCAAAAAGAGAGGCAGTGCTGCTTAGAAGGGATGTGCTGCCCTGACAGACGCTGCTTCCCCATGTCATGAGCAGCCCAGTGCCTGGGCTCTGGGCTTGGGCTGCTGGAGCTGATGAGGCTGAGCTGCCCTAGTTGATAGCAACAGCCTGACTTGAATCTGTCAGAAGGTACAAGTGGTCAGACTGGCCATTTGCAGCCTGCACAGAGTAGGTGTGTGGGCAGAGTGACTTGGACTTTGTATAGGCCAAGAAATGTGGTGTCTGCACTTTTGACTTGTCATGAAAAGATTTACATGGAAAAGAAGCCATGGATGGGTTCTGACAACCAGCCTTGTTGGCTTATTCCCTGGTCTTGGTCCCTGCCAGTCCCTGGCTTGGGTTTATGCTCTGTCTTGTCACCTTAGTCATGCTCTCAAATTCCTCACACAGCATATACTGTTCTACTCTATCCCAGTCTACTCTTTGCAGAGATGGCAACAGAAGCATCTTATAAAGAGGTCTCACCATGTTTCAAGTTGAGAACATGCCAAATTCGGTATGATACCATAGACTGATATTTTGACAGTTTACACCCCCTCCCTAAAAATCCACTACCAAAACTCTTAATTAAAAACAAACAGGCAAACTTCCAAATGCCTTTTAGTTTTGCAGAATTATGTGTAAGTGAAAACAAGGTTTTATAATCAATAGTAGGTTGTGAGCAATTTTGGGGAACATTGTAAGCTCCATTGATGATAAAATCTATGGAGAAATTGCAATCTCCAGACACATGTATATATAAACATGTGTATGTGTGTGCATTCCTGCCAACATCTGCTTTCACTTCACAGTGTGTAATGGCTCAGCCTTCTGTCATTGAGAGGAGCAGTCTCAGTTACTATGGGACAGAGTCATGCGTGTAAGCAATTACTGTGGATTATCTGATGTAACATAAATTCACTGCCTTTGGGCTTGAAAGTGACATGCTCTGCCTTCCTACCTTGTATGCTGTTTGCTTTTTTAAAACAAAATAAACCCCACGCCGAGAAGAGGCATTTGTCTGATGAGTCTCATAGTTGATGCTACAGTTGGAAGGTCCCCTTTGTGCTGGAATAAGCTCTTGTCTGGATATTTTGCACTGAAAAAATTAGCGGTTGCAGATGGCTATTTCTAATGATAGTCTCAATAGTAAACTTGTACTGATACTTCAGGAACCAAATGGAACTTCTCCCTTAAGTATAATAGTTTCAGAAGTGTGTCTAGTACTGTAAACTTCCTGTTATGCATTTATTTCTCAGTGGGGCTTCTAGGGGATAGCACTTTTTGAACAGCTGACACATCTCGATTGGCCTTTAAGTATTTTAATTTGGTAACAGTCATCAGAAGGTTGCAAATGACACTGCAGTGGCATTTCTGTTTTCTGGAGTGCAGTAAAATCTCTGAGGGTTTAACTTGTATGTAATATCATAAAATAAAACTATGATGTTTCTTCATCTAAGTAACTTATTTTTAACTCTGAAACTCTTGAGTCTATTTTCATTTTTGTTTATGTAAAAGGGGGAGTAGAATATTGCATTCGCCTTAGTAGGATCATGCTGTGCAAAGCAGATGTTAAGCTCCTGTAACACACAAAGGGGGCTTTATGTTCTTTCACATCTGTCTGCATAAACAGCTCTGTTAACTCTTTCGTACTCATGTACAGAGTTCCTTGCTTCTGTTAAGAGACTGCCTCAGGAAGGACTGATGAGGTCCCTATTTTGGGAGGAAAAAGCCCCCTCCGAAACTCAGCTGAAGTTAAATACTGCCCTCTTTGACTGTGTGAGCTGCCAAAGGAAAGAACATCCCTGTCTGTAGAGGTCCAGTAAGAAAGCCTGAAAAGGTCACCAAGTTTTATTGCCTTACAGCTTATACAAATAGTGCAATAGTAAGTCAAAAGTGCTTTCTCAAAGCTTGTGTTGTGAAGCTGCTTGGCATTTCATTTCATAGGCAGTTGTTGAGTGGCTCTTTGCACTAGTGAGGGGTTTGAACCCTTGCATCTTTGAGCTAAAATCCATTAATAGAACTCCTACGTACCTGATACACTATTTCTTTACAGAAACTGAGAAGTATCACTTTGTTAGAAGAAATGGTGCAGTTTGTACTACTGCACTTTTCCTACTAAGATGCCACCTCTAGATTAAATTCAAAGCTATTTTCAACCTTTTAGTCTCTACCAAAACTTTGTCCCTTTCTGATCTTGATTTATCTTGTTGTTAAAATGTGAATTCTTTGTCTTTCATTGAGTGCACATGAACCACAGTGGGCTGTGTTATGTCACCTATTTATGAATTGCATCTTAAATTTGATAACTCCATTATCTGTGCTGTGGGTTTGGCAAAATGTTGTGTAATGGCATTACTAGGGTGGGAAGTGTGGAGAAAAGGAATATAGTGGAGCTGAGGGTTCTCCTTGACTGCTTGGAGAATTTCAGCACAGAATGTAGCTTTGCCATCTGCACAGTCTTGCTCTGAATGAACAGTACAGGCTGGAGAAGTGACATCTGACCATGCTGGTATATGTAGAAAGGGTTGACTACTGATTTTGCTAGCAATGGGTTTTCATTCTTTCTGGGTTCCAGGAAGTCAGTGCTTAGCTATGTAAAAATTTGCCCCAGATGAATTAAATCAGTTTAATTTCACTATAGTGAGCATTTGTAGTGACACTGGAATTTTATTGTATCGTACATGTCACCTGCCTGTGGCTGATTTAAATGAATAAAAAAGTGTGAATTAAAAAGTCACTCTTGTATTGGAATATGTATCCCAATGAATTTAAATTCACACTCAGCACTTCTTCATGTGCAAACAAAAGACAAGTGTCCACTAATGAGAGAGAGCAGTTTGTGCAGCCCACCACAGCAGAGCAGCTCATCAGTACCCTACAGCATGAATGTTGCCAAGACTTTCCCCTGGTGCTTTCTCCTGGGGAAGTGGCCTCTCCTGCAGGACCTGTGGATCCCCCAGCAGTGGGGTGCCTGTGCTGTTGGCTCTCTCCAAATGCTTGCACTGAAAGGGAGCCTGGCTCTGCTGCAGGCAAATCCTGCTCATTGGGAAGAGGCTCAGAGCTGTCAGACAGCATTGATTTAATGTATGATTTATCTAGGAATAACCTACTTGTATAATAGTTCAGTGCTGCACCTGAAAGCTGAGACTGCCTGGGGCTTGGTGGGGGTAGGATTGTTCAGCTTCAGTTGATATATCACTGTCTAAAGGGATGAGATTAGATGCTGGTAAGAAGCTGAAGGAATATTTGCTGTCAGGATGATGTTTCATTTAAGCTTCCTTTTGGTAACCAAGCAGGCTTGTAAATTATTGTGGATCTTAAGATCAGTAGACAGATTTTTAGTTACATTGAAAATAGTTCTTAGTCGGGTTGTAAATGTTTCCTCAAAATTTTGGAGAACTGGGGTTATTGGAGAATAACAATGATCCATAAAACTGAGAAGGTAAAATGAAGTACTGCAGTCTTGCTTCTCAAAATTAATAAAATTTAAATAATTATAGGTATAATGCAAGAAAGAAACCTACATTTCAAAACTAGTGATTAGGAATTACAGAGGTTTTTTAAAGAAATGTTGAATTAAGAATCATTTAGTCACTGAGAAATCTATGGCAGAAAAGTAACCTGATTTTTTTTCTGCATAAAATAGTATCAGCCTTCTTGAACACTGCAAAATCTTTGGTGTCCTCATGGACTTGTTTCTGTGTGATACACAATGAAATTCCACTTGTCTGAATCGTTTGAGTAAGATTTTTCAGTAGTTTTATCCTTCTCAGTTTTAAGTCCACTTACTGTGGCCAAATGTTTAAAGAGAGGCAAGCTGAATGAATGCACTCTTTGATAAAAGATAACAAAGCCTGCAACTGAGAAGCTTTGCTGCTCTTTGGGCAAGCACAGTTGGTTTAAAGTGGTACATGTTTATGAATCCCCAAACTAACTGTAGTTATTATACTTGAGTCATGCTAAACAAATAAACCTTTGCATCTCAGGAGCCTGGTATGTGTTTCAAGAGGCTGGCATGCATTTTCTTTACACGACTGCAGGAGTGGCTCGCTTAACCTTTTAATTGGCAGGAAGAAAACTCACTTCATGGCCTAAGCCACAATCGTCTCTCAATGATGTAAACAGTGATGACCTGAACTTGATCTTTTAGACAAGGGATTCACTTTTCTTAGTAGTTGCATTATACAGACAAGCTAATGCTCTGAGGTCAGCGAGGGGCTTTTGTATATCTAGGCACAATAAAGGCAGAAAGTGTTTCCTGCTGTTTAGCTAATTAATGCAGGGTACCACTCGGTAGGAGTCCAGTGGGTTTGCTGCCTGTCACTGCTATTGTACTGCCCGCAGGAGGATGCAGAACAACATGTGGGAAAGGAATGAATTCTCTGCCTTGTTCCATCTATTGCCGGACAGAACAAAATGCAGGGAATCAGCTATCGATTCATTTGGTGAAATGGGAAAAGATGTGGTACTGGAATGCTCAAAGCATATTTCTCGGAGTTGTAAATAAATAACAAAAAGGAATCGATAATACCCTGTGTGTGATGTGATGCTGTTAGAGCACAGTTATCTGTGTGTGTCCTTAAGTTGCCCTCCATCCCGACACTGGAGGGCACATCTGAAAGGAAAAGACTGACAGCACTTCTCTATTACTTTTCTCTTAAATAATGTCTTACGATGTAATGTAAAATAAAGAATTTTGAGACTGTAAAAGCACATATAACTTGGTCACATCTTATATTTTCTGATGGAAGTTTACTGCAAAGCAGCAAGTTCCTTTTCTGTAGTTAATGCAACCAAACATACAGAGACATTTAGAGTCTGCTCTGATCTTGTATTCTGGTCAGGTACAGGCAAATTGTAAAGAGAAAATGTAAGGTGTCATAGTGAACAGCATGTAATGCATATTTGAGCATAAGGGAGCTAAATAATCTTAATTCTTGTTAAAACCTTGTGGGGTATGTGCTGCCTGTGGCTGCCTGCCTTCTCAGCAAGTTTTAAAGTGGATTATTAGCTAAGTGGAAGGTTGTTTGTAGCATCTTAAATTTGACAGACATGTGATTGTGCAGGGGGAGGGTGGGGAAGAAGGGTTGTTGCTCTCAGACAAAAGCTTCTCATAGATTAATATCTTCCAAACTATATTTGTAGTTCTTGTTTTATTTTTAATCTGGAATGTTACAGAGGTTTCATGCCCAGATAATAACTCCTCTGTTTGCTTTTTGTTTTGTTTTTTTTTCCAGAACTGCTTAATCAAACATGATGAGAATGGATACTCAGCAATAGTTGGAGACTTTGGTTTAGCAGAGAAAATTCCTGATCACAGGTATGTGAGCTAATGTAAATGGAGTGAGAGTTGTAACACAAGGTCAGAAGCTCTAGTGAGCCAGATTCCTGAGACTGTTATTGCACTCTGGTACAGAATTTTCAAAAAGTACCCTCAGTCTTCAGTCTGGAACTGCAGGTTGGATAGCCAAAATGTTCCTGCCTTAATTACTGTCCATTTTGATATTTAGTGGTGACATTTATTCTTCAAAAATGTTCCAAGCACTAAAGCTTGATTTGCTCAAGCTTTTTGGTAGATCTTTTAAGGTGGTACTGGGAATTTTGGGTTTAAAAAAACCCAAAACACAAAGCAAACACAATAATAAAAAACATACTGTCCAGCATTCTTGATTGGGATGATTTTGTAATAAATGTCATTTGTTGATTTCAAGCAACTTTAGCTTCATAAAAAATATACATTGTCATTACAGGATTATTCTTATTTAACCTCTATGTTAGTTTTTAACGTTTATAACAGCCTAAAATAAAATTAATTATTAAATTACTGTCTAACTGTAGCTTTCAATTTTCTTCTCCCTAGGATGAAATGATAATCTTAATTCATTTGAGGAATGCACAGGGGACTGTCACAAGCTAGCGTTACAATTGAAAATAGTCCTTTTGTCATCCCTCCATTAGAGAGATCAAGGACAAGGATTTAATTGTTCTCTGTATATTGACTTGTGTATTGCAGAGTATTCTGACTGTGAAATGCTGTCAGATTTTCTCCAGTGTGTGCTTCTGCGTGAAATAAATAAAAGCCTTCCAGCACTTCTGACTGCAGAGGAAACAATAAAAGTTGATCTCAGCTCTGCACAGTTTTTAAATGCACATATCCTAAAACCATACATTGAGAGATCTGAAGGTCTGCATTAATATTGGTGAAATATTGGATCTAAAAGCTTAACAAAAATGAACATCTTAATTTACAAACTACTGATAAGTACAGCCAATGTCTGTCTTGTAGCTTCTGTGGAGCACTCAGGTGCTAAAAGCTTCAGCTGTATTCAGATGAACCCATGACAAAATCAGGAAGACACTACAGGTGCCTTAAGTTGTCCTTAATACTCAGCTTTGAGATGCCCTTAAAACTGAGATTATAGTTAAGATAGCTTGAGAGTAAAGCCAGCAACATAATAGATTTGTTACATTAGCTCTATTAGCCACTATTTTGTTTTTATCTAGTTCTACCTCCATTTTCAAAAGCAGCTTTGTTCTTTCCAGTTTGCTGGTAACAAGCCATGCTACTTTGAGGCCTTCAGAGGCCTTTTCTTTTTTAAATAGGTATTCCCTCAAGATCAGCTGGGTGACAGGCTAGAGCCTTTATTAAGGCCCCAGTATTTAGCTTTATGGAAACTGCAAGTTTTTCAAATTGAGTCTATTCTGAGTACTTTTAATTTTTCCGTAGTAAGGATTTGTAAATTGTGATTTTTAGTTTTTTTAAATACAGTTCTAAAATCTTTATTATTATAATAATAAATAAGTTTGACTTCATTCAGAGCTACATATACATCTATGGCTGGATACCTGCATGTCTTTCTGGATGAATGGAGAACTTGGCATCTAGCCCAAAACCAATGTCTACAAACCTTTTTGGTTTCTTTTTTTAATTTTATGTGTAGATGAAGGAACCAACCCTGTCAAGGGTTAGGCAATAAAAACTATTGAACTGCTGTGACCTTAAAATAAAACATTCTTTTAAAGTGGCTGTGCACTTTAAACTGAAAATATGAGTAATTGATTGGGAAAGTTAGTAGTAATGCTTGAGCATTTAATTAATGGTTCTTCCTTTTCTCCCACCACCTCCCATCCCTATCTATCCCACATCTGTATAGTGAGAAGTTACCAGTTGTGGGTTCACCCTTCTGGATGGCACCAGAAGTTCTTAGAGATGAGCCCTACAATGAAAAGGTAGGTACATGATACAAATGCAGTTAGTTGTCAAATATTTTTCTTCTGTAGCAGTATGCAAGATTTAGAATTCCCATCATATTAAAACTATTGTTATTTTCACATGTGATGCTCCCGTACTCAGTAGATCATTCAGATTAAGGGAGAGTGGGAATTAAATAGCTAATATTTGTATTTCATAGTGTTTAATCTTATATGCAAATAGAATTGGCTTTATGATTGTTCTGTTATGCTATTTCCATTCTGAAACACCCCATATACTGATATATAGTAATGTTTTATTGACCTAACACAATTTAATTTAACCAAGTCTGAGAAGTGTAGCAAAGTTGCTTCCCTAACTGTACACTAGTGAAATCTGGGTAGAAGTAAAAGGTCTGTATGTAAACTTGCACAATGCTGTGTGTGTATATACATAGATCTACATCTGTGTATGTATGTGTGTATAAATTTAAAAAAGAAACCAGCATGTCTTAAGGTGAGATACCTTGATAAGACAAAATGTTCTCCAAAGGTTTTTCGAAGTTTTCCTGTTTGTCATTGGGAAGTGTCTCTTTCAGAGGAGGATCAGGTCACACTGGGTTTTAGAAGTGGTGTTTTCAATCAGTCTCTGCTTTACACAGGATTTTGTCTTCATTACTTCAGCTCTGCCAGTGCAGCTTTTATGAGATAAAGCCCACATCCTGTACCTCTCCATATCTAGTAGTCAATACTCTGTTTAATTGGTGGTACTTTTAACTTGCAGAAAACCAGTAACTGTCTCAGTAGTGAATGTAATAATTACCATTTCAAAGCTTTTAAAGGAGCTTAATTGACCTAAATTAATAATAAAGTACCCAAATATTTGATGCCACATTCTTCATTGACCCTACCATGAGAAGGGTTAAAGAGGAAGCAGATGTCATAACTCATCAGCATGAAGCATGACATGAAACAAGCCTGATAAGGTATGAAGGATTCATGCTTCTGCCCTGTAGACTTGTGTTCTGTGTTTTCTTAAATTTTATTACCTGAAAAATTCAGGTGGGTGGAAATCTGAGGAACTGTGCAGCTCCAGGGGTAGTCAGATAAGTGATTACTAAACGTCATGGAAATTAAACTTGATACAGTGCTGCTAGGTATCTCAAGCTTTGGGAAGACAGTTTTCTCCAGAGGTACTGAACTGAGAAGAGGAAAACATAATTTTTCTTAAAAATAGCATTAATGTTCTGGCTAGGCTGTGAATCATCTATTCCTAACCTGTTTTTCTAACCACAGTGATATATTGGCACATCATGTTTTGGCTATGTTTTTAATTATTCCCATGTGTAGGACATCAAGTGGAGCTTCACTATTCTTCGTGCAAGGAAGGATCTAATTTTTTTTTTTAATTTTTGCATTGCTGAATTAAGAGTGGTTTGGTGGGGTTTTTTTTCTTGAAAGAATTTTAAATTGATCATTGCTATTTGTACAACAAGAATGCTTCCTGTGAGCTTCGGTTTCTTCATGTGGAAAAGGTTAGCTTTAATGCAGTTGCTCAGTGTTTGAGGTTATGGTGTTGTTCAGTTGTTTCATGATAGCCGTTTGGTGTAAGGAGAAACTCAGTAGCAGATAAAGACACTGAGCATTCATAGCTGAACCATGTGTCTATTAATTTTTTTCTCTCTCAGGCAGATGTGTTCTCCTATGGCATAATTCTGTGTGAGATTATAGCAAGAATACAGGCAGACCCAGACTATCTCCCTCGCACAGAGGTGAGTGGTTGTGTTTATAACATTGGTGGGAGGTGGGAGTCTGCCGTGATAACAGCTCAGCCTTTAGAACTTCTGCCACTGCTGTCAAAGATAGGATGGATAGGTGTGACATTAAAAATAGCCTTTAAAAGGCTTTTGCTCTTTATGCTGTTATTGTGGGAAGCTCCATTGAAGACACTTTCTCAGACACTTTGTGCTGCTGCAATCCTCATGGGAATCCTTTCTGCCCCTAACTGGCAGGACACTGAGAGCATTGCAATGCAAACTTCCTTTTGTGGAGTGATATCTCATGTAGACTTCTTGCCAGGTTCACAACGAGACATTTTGGCATTCTGTATGCAATAAGCAGCCCTCCCCTTGTAAAAGGGGTAGGAGCTGTGTTAACAGCAGCTAAAATAAGTTAACCCTTATTTTTTGTGAACTCTGCTAAGCACAGTGGATCTGAGCTATAATTGACTAACTAAAGATACTTTTTTCTTTATTCGTCCCATCTACAGGGCAGCTTTTGATCCTTTGTGGGGTTATTCCAAATTGTCTATCCCTCTCCATTTCTGAAAATGGAAAATTGCTTAAGTCTCAGACTGCAATAAATAAAAGATTCTTTTTTAGTCTGCCCTTCAGATTTTGTAGACATGCACTTAAGGAACTGGATAGTTTGTATTACCAGTCTACCATCCACTGAAAAATTAGCCATTTTAACTCATACATTTCCGTCATAGGAAAGCCTCTGGTTTTGGAGTAGGCTGTTAATTTGCACTATGAAAATCACCACAGTGAAACATCCTGGTATTATGGTATTGTTTCCAAATCCACAGAGGCAACATTTCAAGTGCAATGGATTGCATTTGAATCCAGGAAGGAGGATGGGCTTTGATGTCAGCCCATTCTCTTATTGCTATCCTGTATCAGTAATCTCCACTGGGAATGCTGCAGTTTGGAGTGTGCATGAAGTTTTCTCAAACTCCTCTGTTATGTTGTTGCTGAGAAAGGTGTTCATGGTTATTCCTGATAACTTCACATAGGGACCTCCTAAAAGAGGGTGCTTTGAGCTAGATAGAAGACCTCATTTATTTCTCTATGCTTTGTTGTCATTACAGAATTTTGGATTAGATTATGATTCCTTTCAGCACATGGTGGGAGACTGTCCTCCTGACTTCCTCCAGCTGGCCTTCAACTGCTGTAATGTGAGTATCTTATTTGAAGGGGAGAGGCCTGAACTGGAGTTCTCTAAATCCCTCTGATTTTTGAAGATAAAGCTTAAAGCATTTTCAGAAGAGACTCAAAGAGCCTACCTCTGGAAGCAGTGTACCTGCTAACAACCCAGGAAGTCCCTTTCAGTTTATATAATCCTTCCCTTCCCTTTGCTCAGAGGTCTGTCTTGTGTTTCTGCAATTCTGTGTTCTGTCATGCCAAACCAACAGGTCTGGCACTCTGAACGGGTTCTTGCAGGCTGCTCAGGCTGACCATAACCAGTTGGATGCCATTGACACTGGCTAACCCTCAGGCTGACAAAATCCAGCTGTTGTTGTGTGCAGACCTACTGAGCTATGAAAGAAGGACTGAGTTGTTCTTATAAACAGAGGGGACAACCAAAATAAGAGCAGTCATTAAACTATTCTGAAGTGACTGTATGATGCCTTTTGGAAAAAGGGTTTGACATCCAAATGCTTAGCCTGTGTCATAAAATCCAAACTATGACTGAAATTATTTAATATCTGTAAGCCTATAGGCCATGTGCTATATGGAGAAATTTTTCTGGCAATTATTCAAGTAAAATTGTGATAGTAGATACCTTCCTGGCTCCTTTTTGTGAAAACTCCAAGGCAGTAGATCTCTTCTGCTGGTTATCCTGTAACAGAGTTACTAGTACCAATGTATAGTAAACCAGTTTATATAAAGTAAGAGAACTTGAGCTTCCACCACATTCAGCTGAAGTTGGGAATGTCCAGTTTGCTCAACTTAAGTAGAGGCAAGTTTAAAAAATTTTACTGCGCAAAACTTGGCCCTGGATTCACAACCAGGCTGTGCTGGAGCTGATGCTAGCATCGTGTCCGAGTGCTTTTAAGAAATCTCATCTCTTTGTGCTTTTGGTGGTTATGATGTCTCTCTCTTTGTATTAGTACAAAAGCCCATGCTCAAGGGGAGAGTGGTGAGAATGGAGGGGCAGTGACTGCTGCTCTTAGCACCACACAGCATAATTTAATTCTAAAAGTGTTTGTGTAAGTTACTATGGATCAGGTACTTAACTCCTCTTATTTCACCTTAGTACAGCAGAGCTTGCTTCACCTGAAGGGGTACATCTCACTCGTGTTTATGAAGCCCTTTGATTACATGAGTACTAAAGGGTTTGGTTAGAGGTAGGATTTGACTCAGCTCCCACCTGCAGACTCCAGAAATGGTATTGCATCCAAACACATGGTGCATGATTCAAAGCAATTTTTCAGCTCAGAAATTCAGAGTAAAGCTTCTCATGAAGGAAGGGGCAGTGACCTTATATTCTCATGTAAAATTTGGTGTGCTCAGAGAAAAAGGGTTTTCTCCTACTCATTATTGTCAAATGCAGCTTCCTGTGTAATTAATGTCCCTTTGCTGAATTGAAATGGAAATTACTGTCTTGTGATCCAGCCATTAATATGCTGATTTCAGTGTAGGGCATGCTGGAATACCACTCACCTAGGAGAAGGGAAACAGAGTAAAAAGATAAGGCTTTCTTATATCTTCCTAAGCATGCTGTGTCTCAGTAAGAGGTGATCAGTGTGGTAATATTTTCTGAGACATGGATATTTATGTACCTTTTTATTATTTAATAGGTCAACAAGGTGTGAACTGTATAGCCCAGCTGAACTAATGTGCAAAGCCCTGGGATTCTCTACAGCCAGGAAATTTGTTCTAAGGCACCCTAAGAAAACCAGTGAAAAACTGACATGTATGAGTAGTGGATTCAAATTTAACTGTTATAAAGTGTGGGGGTTTGTAAATAAACACCTGCAAGAACTCAACAATTATAAGCCTACTTGTGGAATATTTAATAAATATAATCATAAATGATCATGCAAAAAGCTTACCAGGATGAGCTAAGTTGTTGGCAACTGCTGCTTTGAGAAGGAACCTTCTCTTCCATTTGAGCAGAATCTGGACTGCTCAGGGATGGAAGAGGCAAATACTGCTCTGAGTAACTTTTCCATTGCTGCTCTTGTCTTGGATCCTACCATGCACAAATTAAAATAGCCAGAGAGCTCTTTTGCTTCCTCTAAGCTCCTGTAGCTTGCAGCAGCTCTGTAAGATTCCCAAATTAGCAAGTTTGTCAGAGTACAGTGTGTGCTTCAGTGTTGCCCCTGCCCTACTCTTTCAGTGAAATAGGGAATGCAGAAATATGTTTTCCAATGCCAGCAAATTCCAGCTGCTGTTTTAGAACTATTTTCTTGCTGCTCTTGACTTCAAGTGTGGTTTCTTTGTTTGCTTTTTGTTACTGTTCATAGGAATTTTTAGTACCTTCCCCCTTGTTGCTAGAAGGTGTCCTGGCATTGCTGATCGTACCAATTGTCCTCAGAAGGGTCCGTCTTAACCTGCAGGGCAGTGTCAGGGGAGGTCTTTGGGGTTTGTTGTGTACAAAGCACTACTGTTCCCATTGTAGAGATGGGATCTGTCTGGGCTTGTCCACTCTGAGAAAGCCTTTAGCAGGCTGGAAACAGCAATCAGGTTAAGCAGAATTGTTTTTATTACTGGAATGAAGTTAACTTTCAGCTGTTGAATTAGGTGTTGCTACTACAGTAGTGAAGCCTGTGCCATATATACACAGTCAATGCTCAAAATGATGAAATGCTTTCAAAGTTACTGGTCATAGGAAGCTGCTTGCCCTGTGGTACAATTTTAGTGTTGGACTTTGTTTAGACATTTATATCTGCTAAAGTGAATAAATAAATACTGAGAATAAATAAGTACTGAGAAATACAGACTGATGAGCAGGGGAAATATTTTACCTGGTAAAGATGGATTTTTGGTTTTCCTAACTTTTAACTTTGTCAAATTATGTAATCACCCTGGCTTCCTACAAGACAGACCAGTACACTGAGTTGTATGGCTAATTAACAGATGGAAGAATACAACATTTTCAGCTTTAAGATCAGCAATGCCATTTTAGGTGTGTTTTAAAGCCACAAGAACATGATGGGATAATTACAATATTTTAAAGACTTATATAGCCATGTTGTTATGTGTAATCCTTTTGAAATAACATTGATACATAATCTCTGTTTGATAACCAGAGTCCAGACAGAAATCCTGAACTATCCAAGCTGTTTCAAGCAAACCAACCAACTCCCCTCACAAGCCATGTGTCTGACAGTTTCCCACGTTTTCAATTTAAAACTTTTCCTTTTCATAGAATATTTACAAATTGAGGATTAAACACGAGAGGTGTAATAGACTTCTGCTTTCCCCCTTTTTTCTGTACTTTTTATTGCGATGACAATACACTTTAAATCATTTTGAATTTCCTCAGTTTCCTTAGATTGTCCCTCTTTCTGTCCGCTGTGTAAGCAGAATAGCATGGACAAATCCACATGGACTTACTTGATTTGTGTGCATTCACAGATGGATCCAAAGTTGCGTCCTTCATTTGCTGATATTGTCAAAACACTGGAGGAAATGTTAAACCGCCTGAGAAATGAAGACTCAGAGAGAGACAGAAAGTTCTTGAACCTTGACAACAATGAAAGAAAATCAAAAGGTAAATGTCTGTGTTGTAGAAACATTGCTGGGTGCTCACAGCAAGAGGAGAAAAAGCTTCATATTTTGAAGACTGTTATTTTGGCTATATATGGGTTTATTTACTATTCATGAATGATTTTACACAAACCCTGAAAACTATTCTAGAGCAATGCTGTATGCTTTGCATTGCAGAATGTACTTTTGTGAAAAAAAAGAAGCTGTTTCTTAAAATGCCCGATAATATTCCGTGCCCAAGACCTTGAGAGGAAATTTAGAGTTCATTTGGGAATGGCTTTGTAAATTGCTAATAGTATATGAAAATCCATCAGCTTTTGATTTCTCACTGCCATACTTCGTAAATATACGTAATTTCTTTGGTGTATATTACTTGTAATATTTAGAGGCTTCTTAAATTCCTTCAGGAGGAAGAGCACAGAAGATGCAAGAGTATTATAAAGTACCTAGAAATACTCTGAAAGACGAGAAAAGATGAGTCCCAGGTCTGCTTGGGAATGTTGGCCTTGAAAGGTTTTCTCTAAAGCTGTCTGGTGCCACCTGGTGTGGGGAGCAAACTCTTGTAGCCTGGGCTGTATTCTGACTTGGGTGTTTTATGTTAGTACACTTCTGGCATTAGAAACTTAAGAGTACATTAAAAATAGTTTCTTATATATACAAATATGCAACTTATGGACATAACTATTGATTTGTAATGTAGTTGTAGATTGAAATAATTTTTCTCTACATCAAACCATGTAGAGTTAATGCATGTGATAGTTCTCCCACACCTGGAAGGCATCTAAAAAGAGGTGTGAGTTAAAAGGTTTAGGGTTTTTTGTTTGGGTTGGGTTTTTTCTTTTGGTGTTTGGTGTTTTTTTCCTGGCATTCTCCCTTTGAGTACATGTACAAAACAAGTACTTCTCAAAGAAGTGTTACATGCTGTTCTTTGACTTGCATAGTCTTTCCTACATGGAATGGCTGTAGTCTAAACTGTGACAGTATTTAAATGGAAAAGTGAAAATCCATATGTGCTTATTTTGGAAATGGTAATCAAAAGGAGATATCACTTCTTTATACCCATTTGTTACAGCTCTAACATGGCTCTTCAGAGGCAGCTTGAGAGCCCATGACAGATGCGCATTCCAAACACTTGGGGAATTAACATCTACCAGTTTCTCATCCTAATCTAGTGATACAGCTTGTATTATAAATGTGTGTGTGTTCAATGGGTGCAAATACACAGACATATGTACAACTTTTCAGCTCCTATTTATTAGGGTCAGACTCTGATAGCTCTTCAGTTTTGTATTGGATAATGTACTGAAAGAAGGCTGGGATAGAATGATTTAAAATCTACATGATACAAGGAGAGACCTTTTTTGTTTGTTTTGGACATTTCCCATCAGGGTGAAAAAGTGCCAATTTCTCTGGCAACAATGTTTTGTACTGTTTCTCTTTTGTGGCCATTAGCACCAGCAGACATAGCCTCTGCTGGAAGCCAGGACAATAAGTCTAGAAACATGCAAATCCTTCTTCTCCAATGCTACCGTGTCATCTCTGCTGTGGCAGTGTACTGGCAGCAGAGAGGCTTGCAGGGGCTCTAAAATACACTGAGGAGAAGAGAAGGGTGTACTTGTGTTTGTGCAGGAACTTAAAAGGAAGGAGCAGACATGTGCTTATGGAACATAGTTTGGAATATCAGAAACACAGCTTTTTTTCTTTACAGTGGTCATGAAGGCTTTGTGAGTGAGCAGGGGGAGGACAGCTATATGGAGCTTCTTTAAGCTAAGAGTATTTCTCTTTTTTTACTCAGGATCAATTGACAAAGGACCAGGAGTAAAACGTTTGAGTTCCTTGGATGATAAGATCCCACCCAAGTCACCCCGTCCGCGGCGGAATATCTGGTTGTCACGCAGCCAGTCGGATATCTTCTCTCGGAAACCTTCCAGGAAGATAAATGTGCAGGACCCCTACTACACTCCAAGCAAAGGGTTAGGCCGCAAAGTCAATCCCTTCAGTGCCCGGGAGGACCTCAAGGGAGGAAAGATCAAATTCTTTGACATGCCAAGCAAGTCTGTGATTTCCCTCGTGTTTGACTTGCATTCTCCAGAGGCAGGTGGAGGCCTGAAAGCCAGCCAGTCCCAGTTCCGGCAGGCATATAGCACAGACTGGCAAGACCTTTCCCTTCTTCCTGGGAGGAGATGCAGATCACTTCCACTCTCTCCTGAATTACCACACAAGGAATATGGCCTGTTTGGGGGACTGTCTTCAACTGTTGGTAGGTGTGACCCAGCCCAGTTAGGTGCAGAGGTTCGGCAAAAACTCTTGAGTAGCACTAAATATGGTGTGTCAGAGATTCCCCCCTTTCACGCCAAGCCTCAGAGACCAGAGTTTCTTCTTGCACCAGGACAAGAAGAGGATATGGACTGTTCAGATGGCCCAGTGGCCCAGGAGGAAAATGGGTTCTGCCCTGTTGAGAACACATGTGGAGATCCAGTATGTGATCAACCATTAGTGCTGGCCCAGTCTGGGCCGCTGTCTTACAAAAAGCTCCCAGTTGAGAATTCAGTGAACTCTGAGGGACGTGGCTCCCCACAAGTGTTTGCAGCTTATCTCCCTTCTGAAGAGATGGAGGTAGAAGATGATCTGCTGAACATTACTCTGTTAGAGTCTACAAAGCCTCTGTTCAGTGTTAGTTCTCCCACTGAGTTGAAGAGAGAGGCATGGCCCTTCAGGGAGCAGGATGGGGACAGTCCTGCCCTGTTATCTCAGACCTCCTCCAACATCTCAGCAAGTGGCAGCACAAAGTCAGCTTGTGACATATGAAGAGAGAGCTCAAACTGAATGTGTCCTTGAGTTGTTCACAGTTGCTTAAACTAAGCTTTTCTGGAGTGCTGGGCTTCAGATTTGAAAGAAACTCAACAGATGGTGGAAACTGGCTGTAGGACAGATAGCTACATACAGTGTCTGAAGAGACTGATTGTTTTATAAAACTTTATTTCAAATTGTGCTTATTCCCTTTCCTGATTTGCATTAGGAGGGGGAACTACTCCAGCCAGAATGGCCATGTATGTCCCACAGTCCTTTCAGGAGGCAGTAGTCAGAGCAGGCACCATGTAAACAGGTTGGCCTGGATTTCCAGTGTAGGGCATTTTAAGGTCTTAAGCTCCATGAAGAATAGAAAGAATGACCCTTAGATTTTTCCCTCTTCGTCTAACTGAACATCTGCTCTAAGCCACTGTAGATTTTTCATTAACATTCTGTAAGTGCACCTGAGTCTGAGCCTCTGTTTCAGAAACAGGCACAGAAGTCTTTCTGAGCTATGTTGAGCAGATAGGAACGCTCTCTAGTCCCAGAGCTGCTTTGCATGCTGTTGTAGCATTAAACAAGCTCTTCTGTCAAAAGCAGCAAAAACAAAACCCCTCATGCTGGTCACAATCTGCAGGCTGAGTCACATGACAAGTACATTGTGATTAACAAGAAGAATCTGTTCCCTGCTGTTTCATTTTCCCTTGGGATTTAGTAATGATGTTTAATACATTTGTGCAGGGAAGCTCACTTCCTTGTACATCTCTTTATGTACCTCAGTCCAGATGTAGAGGAAGATTTGCCTAGGGCACAGAGAAGCATATTCCAGCATTGCCATTTCTGGGCTTCTGAGAAACTGCTCCTGAAAGTACCAGCTGTACTGGGCTTTTGCAGAGGTTGGGTCCTTATCTCTGAAGAGCTGAGTGAACAATAGTTAAATACAGTAGCTACATCACAATTGACTATTATAACTAAGCTAGAAGGGTCATATTCACCTCCCCCTCTGGTACAACATCCCATCTCACTGATTTCACTGCAGTAATGATGGCTCCTCACTAGCTTGCTTGACAGAGGACAGGAATCTCCTGCTCAGAGGAAGTTGCCATCAGTGTTGTAGCCCCGCAAGTGCTCTTGGAGAGCACAACTCACAGGAGGGCTTTGAATTGCCAAACTGAAGAAAATTAGCTTGTCTTAAATTGACTTTTTGTTTCATCTACAGAAAGAAGCTGCTCTCTTTATTGGTTTCTCCTGTCACTGAATAGGATAATATTTTTATTAATGTTTTTATTTCCCTCCACCAGCAGGTACCTGTGAAAAACCCAACATGAGCTTTAATGCTTCTTGCTGGAACCATCATCAGCAATCCCTGCTCTGGGATGCAATGTGTGGGAAAGCTTGTTCTGTGACATTTGTGCAACATCCTGCCTTTTTCCACTATCATCCCAAAGACCATGGGATTTTTATTTTATGGGGTTTTTTAAATCTATATCCTCATTCCTAAATGAGGGAAACATTGCACACCTGCTGAGCAGATGGTGATGCAGCAGAGTCCAGATTTTTAGTCGGTAGCCTGTTACACTCTTCCTGCTCTCTTGTAAGGTTGGATACTGTAGGCTTGTTTCTGATGGAAGCCAGACTATTTCTACTCTTCTCCCATCTCAAAGAAAGGATGGAGAAAACCTTTCTTGGCTGGGATGTGTATCTTTCCTGAGGTGTAGGTAGCTGTTCTTTGAGGTACAGCTATGACTTCCTCTAGTGAAGTGTGTGTTAACCTGAGCAGTTCTCCCTTTGCAGTGGCTGTTATGAATGAAAGGAAAAGCCCAGTGTTGCTGAGTTATTTAATAGTCCATACCGGATTAGGCAACTGTTGGCAGCTTGAAAGAGAAAATGCCTGTGGCTCACTAAGATCACCCCTTTTGGCCCACACCTCTCTGCCTCTTGAAGGTACTGATCTGCAGAGTAGTTTGTCTTCTCTATTGTCTGCAGAGTGCAGAGCAGCTTGTATGGCTGCCATTGCGTGTGTCTAACTTCGAGGACAGAGAAACACTATTGAACTCAGTTGCCTGCCTGGTGCCTGCTTGCCTTTTTTTTTTTTTTTTTTTTTTTTTTTTTTTTTTTTTTTTTTTTTTTTTTTTTTTTTTTTTTTTTTTTTTTTTATCTTTGCTACAATTGTATCTTCTGGGAGGGAAACCATCAGCACCAGCTTCTGTTGTCACAAGATGCATTTAGATGTGTGACTTCAGACAAGTAAGCAATAATGAGTAGTTCACTTTTGGATCACCAGGCTGAGGGAAGCTGTCCAGCAGCCTGACCAGAGAGCACACGCACACCTCTGGCTGCCCTGGGGCTCCCGTGAGCGAGCCCTGGCTGTCAGTGCTGACACCTCATCATGAAGCCTGTTGCCCTCCCTGACACTGACTGCAAAGCTTGAGCAGTCAGGCTTGGGGTACCCCCAGGGCACCCACTGCAGTGACCTCACAGTTCTCTTAACTGCTGTCTTTACACCATCTCCCTACCCTGAACAGCTCTTACAAAGTGGCAGAGCTAAAATTTTATTTTCTTAAATGTCCGCTCTAAGCACAACCAATTGACATGCATTGGGCACAACTATCAACATTTCTGGCTCTTGGAACTGAGGTAGAGATGTAAGAAACAGAAATGCCAAGGAGTATCAGCTCAGGCCTTTCCTGGAGAGTGGTCTGCATGGGAAGAGGTACATGTATGAAACCAGAGTAAAAGGTCATTCTAAAATTGCAAAGTGGTTGCTGAAACCCAGTGTTTCCAAGGATGCAGTTGGAAGTCATGACATCTCATCCCTTTGGCTGCATAAAGCTGAATCTAGGCTGCACTTAGTAATTCCTAGGTTTTGTGCCTACTGAGGTTGCTTTTCTACAGAGGGCCATTTTCTGACAGCTACTGATAAACATGAATTTGAACATGTGGTCAGCAAACTCCTTGTTTTATAGTGATGTGATGAAGTTTTATCATGATTGACTTTTACCGTGATTTTCACTTTACAGGAGCAGTTCTTGCTCTTTTAAAGTACTTTCTACACATTGCTACACATCTCCCTGAAGAGATCAAAGATGTTTTTAATTCACTTTAAATCTATGTTGAGTTCAATTAAATGTCTGTTATAAGCTATTTTTGTTGTGGTTGCAGGTTGATAAAATGCAGCCAATAGAATGCATGTGAATTGCTGCCCCTCGAAAGCAGCACAGCCAAGGGGCTGTAGCAGACTTGTACTTGGAGAGGCATCAATGTATTATGTGTAACAGAACGTTGGTATTTTTTGCCAGTACAACTAAAGACACTTGAATAATTCCTGTTTGCACTTAATGCTATTGTTTATATTGCATGTCACTACATTTCTATGCAAAACAAATAACCTTTTTTTTTGGGGAGGAGGGGCAGCCAGATATTTGATTAAGTATAAAGATCTTTGCGAGATGATCTATTTTCGTATTTATGAAGGAGTTTTACGTCTTAATATTTTGCAGTCTGTAAATAGCTGAACTTGTAATTAAAGGCTTAGGAAGAAGTTTGTAGCCTGTGTATAATAGTAAGTTAACACTGCCAGAAAAAAGATCTTTGCAAAACAACTTTTCTAATATTGCGGATATTTATGAATATGTAAAGAAAGCACGTCTTGTTTTTATGTTGATTGACCTTCTGACTTTTTTGAACTATAGAAATGGTGTATGTTTTATTGGAACTGCAATAAGAAGTAACCAAAGATGAATCCACTTAAATATTTTCATAATTTTTTTCTTGGTCAGGTTTTGTAAACTTTCCCAACTTGCTTTCAAAATAAAAATGAAATCAAGGTCTGAGTCTTGTGATTAAGAGGACAATTTCTTTAAGTTAAAAAAGCTAGCTTGACTACTTACTTAAAATACAAATGCCATTAATACCTGGCTTGAGATTGTATTTGCTATTACGCAGTGCTGAGTTCTACCCAAGGAAAACTCATCTTCAGTAAATGTTATTTCTCTTGCATCTCATTGAAGAGTTCCACTACTGAATCTATGAGACTCAAGGATTTTTTTTCTGCTCTGTGTTACAGTGCTCTGAAGGGTAGGCTGTATCTTGTGAGCTACCAGATAAGATGGCTTTTGATAGCAGCCCTGCAGGGTGCTTGTCATGGTGGCTGCTCTGTTCTAGCCCTAAATAGCTTCAGCAGCACAGGAAGCTGTGCAGTTTCTCAGTATCACATATGTGGCTTTCAGCCCCACTGCCTTTCCCCCTGGAACAAGTCTGAAGACCTGCTATGGCTTGGTTCTGCATGCAGTTATCCAGCTCTAGAATCAGCCCATGTGTGAGGAATTTTCTCCTTCCCTTCTCTCCTGTAGGGGCAAAGGTCTCATCTGTGCATGATCTAATCAAAGGTGATTTCCCCCCTTCAGCCTCATCCCTGCCTTCCCATCCCAGCATGCCACTAAGGAACATGGCCAACTCCAAGTGAGAGCAATTTAATTGGTCAGATGTTAAAACACAAACAAGAATATGAAACCTGTTCACTTTTTGGTGAGTTCTCGATGGAAGAAAGAGCTCCAAAACTTGGAGGAGACAAAAAAAGCACAGTTTCATGAGTAGTTCTGTAGCTTTATGCACTGCCCCACACCAACTTTATCTTCTCACTGTGAGCTTTGGAAGATTTAGAAAACAAGCTCTTCACTATTTGCAGTGGCACTGATTTCCCACTGAGGTACAGTTTATTATGGCAGTCTGGCAACCAGGGCCCTGCATCGGTGTCTGTATTTTTCCCTTGCTTGAGCATCCAGACATAAGCCATGATATAGCCAGTCATGAATGCATCAAAGCCAGCTCGATGTGTGCCCCCCTGTGAGGGAGGGCTGTGGGTTTCCTTTTCCTTTTCTGCAGCACTGTCTGCTTCAGTCTCATGGGTGGCTGGGTGACTGACTGAGCCCAACCCAGTGGGAACCTTTGACTTCTTCTCCACTTGGTCATTGTCAGAGGCATTTCCCTTGGCAGAAGGGCTCTGGGCAGCTGCTCCCTGGTCAGTTCTTTCAGTGCTCCCCAGATTCTCTTCCCACTGTGTGCCGGTGTCTGAGCTGACCTCTGTTTCCATGTCCGTGCAGCTCTCCTCCAGTGGCCTGCCCTCCCCGTTGGGTGTGATCTCTGCCAGCTCTGTAGCAGCTGCAGGCTCATAGCAGCTCTGCTTCCGTGGTGGTCCCTCCTCCCCGTTCTGAGCTTGCTCCGTGCTGTCCCCTGAGCTTTCCTGTTGGAATGCCGCTGTGAGCACTTTCAGGTTCTTCCGATGTTTCCATCTCTGCTTCCGTTTCTTTCGCTTCTCCCAAAGCTTGTCATCCTCGTCAATGATGAGGTCAATATTATGAGACTCTGGACACTTCACCCCTTTTGGACACCACCCATAGGCCTAGGGAGAAAGAGAGAGGGGTCTGTAACCTCCATCTTACTGGTTAGAGCAACAATCACCATAACATGGAGTGGATCTCATTATTCCCTTCCACTGCAGGCTTGTGAGGCTGGAGCAGGGACAGTGTCCAGTTACAGATCCCCAGCACACAGGGAAGATGCTGACACACTGCACTGAGTGCAGCACACAGCATATGAGCAGAGGCTAAGGAAGGTGGGTTTGTTCTACCTGAAAAAGACAAGGCTAAGGGGAAGGGGATATCTAGTTGGTGTCTGCAGGTACCTCCAGCAGAGGTTATGCGCAAGATGAAGTTAAACTCTTGTGAGAGCACATGGAGAAGGGACCTGGTAAGAGGGGAAATTATGACTAGAGATGCAGGAAAACATTTTTCGTGTAGTGGTCAAGCACTTGAACAGGGCTCTGGAATAGTTTTTTAATCTCTGTCCTTACACAATTTCAAAATTTACCAAACAAGGCTCTGAGCAACATTGAGGGGGTGGTTAGATGAGAAACTTCCAGAGATTTCCTCAACTTATGTTCTGTGACAGAATATACAATGTGTGGAACAGCTCCTTTTCTCCATGAATCACCTGAAGCCAGTTATGATCTGACCAGATGGGCTCTTTGCTGCTGTAGCTGCACTAGGACGAGCTCTTGTGGATCACCCTGTGCTACAGTGCCAGAAGCTACTGACAGGTAATAATTTTTTATATCTAATGAAGATAAAGGGAAGGGTAGAGGTAGCACTTCTTTATTGTAGGACAAGCCAAACTAACACAGAACTTGCAGCCCCCCCCAAGAGAGCAAGGGGTACTTTAACTCGTACTGTCCCACTGTTTAGGGCCATAGACTGTTGGAATCTTCCTAATGAAGCCTGTAGGATTCCCAGCCTCAAAGCAGAGGCACACTATTGCCTTGTCTGTCACAAAGCCACCTGAAGCTTGAAAATGTTCCTTGTACCATATATGAAGAAGTTGCTAGATGCTTTCCCACAACTTCTGCCTCAGGCCACGTGTGGCCCTTTCCATGGAGTCAGGAAGGGAGCAGGGATTAGTGTTACTTACCGAAAATTTCTCACAGACAGGCACCTTATTGCCCCCGGCAGCGCTGTGGCCGTCTCCTTCCAGAGAGCAGCAGCGGTAGTCGATGTAGCGGGACATGTTGGCAGGGTAATTGCAGAACTCCACCGTGAGGTGCTGCCCGCTGGAGTCCCTCAGCTTGCAGTTCTCTCGCTTGCTGGAACAAGAGGAGCACAGTTACTGTGGGATGGGACCAGGGCACGGAGCCAACACTGCTCTCCACCAGCTCTCCATGACTCTCCTGCTCTTGAGCTCCAGCCCCGGGTGCGGGAAAGGAATTCGATCCCAAGAGAGCAGCTGTAGTAAGTAGTTGTTTTCATGCTGATTCAAAGGTTTGTTTTTCTTATACTGACATAGAAAAAGGGAAAGTGGCAGCTCTGTTGAAGTCACAGGGGAAGGGTATGCACAGTTTGGTTTTTTATCTACAAAGGGCACTAAGATATGTCTTTGTCTTCATAGTGCTAATGGACAAGGACAAGATGCCCCAAAACAAGGTACTGTGCAGACCATCCAGTAGTCACCACCCAGGCAGGTTGAACCTGGGCAATAGAGACAACAAGGAAAGAGTTTTCATTTCATGAAAAAAAAATCTGATCTCTATGTGGTCCAAGAGCTGGTTAAAAGGCCGAAACCTTTGGAAGGCTCTACCTAATGGGA